AAGTACGTCTGGGAAGGAAAGGAGATGGGACGACTCCTTTCCTGGTCTAATAAGGGCGACTTGTTCGGAGTGCAGCCAGTTATGCAATGAATTGGACACACCGAAGATATCCAGTGGCGTCACTTGGCCTGTTTTATCTTGTTGCTAACATGGTTTCAACATGTCTGTACCGATTAACGAGTTTCTTCACGTTAACAGATTCCCCATCGACTGGTTGAGACGCCCGCGTCCGAGGCTTGGTGGCTCATCGAAAGTTCGCGAACCAATTCACGAAACGTTTCCGCTCGATCCCAGGTCCCACAGGCTTAATCTAAGCTTGAGCTGCCGTCTGTTTTCACTTCGGAGTCGGGGTTTCCTCTCATAGAGTTTCAGACGTCATTGCTAGGAAAATCACGACGTTATAGATTAGATAAGAGCTTTGGTGACAAGAAGAGGGCAAGCAATAAGAATAGCTAAATGAATATTACCCAGACGTTATTCTGTGGTTTCTATTCTATTAGTATGCGCTACAGCAGTAAACCAGTTAGGGAAGCACGAGAATCAAAGCAGCTGAAGCTTGTAGTGCAGTCGTGTTCCGTGTGTGTAGCTTGGCGGTTCTCGGGCTAGCGAATTCTGCTTCTAGAAATGATTCCTAACGGGCGGTTTATGTTAGAAGCATAAAAAGAGGGCATAGAGTTGTTCTTCATTAGAGAGAACCTTCTGGCTGGCAGTATTATCAGTGCTCAGTTCAGTACATACAAGGAAAAGCAACTGAGCTACTCCATTGAATTGTACAGTTAGGTAAATACTCTGAAATTTCGTAAGACGCTGATTTCAGGAGCTTTTTCAGTTCTAGTTTCAGTTTTCTCTATCAGGATTCATTCATACCTTCCCAACATTGCTGCACATGCTTCGATATCGTGGATCATTGGATGGTCTACTGAATTGACTTTTTCAGTAAAGTTTGAGTGGATTCGAAGGAGCTGGAGTGGTTGTCAAAGAGCTAATACAGAAATTTTGTTGCGAACTGCAGGCAGCGTACTAGCCCGAAATGGTTGCGTTCACAGAGACAGGCTTCAGGGATGCTTGATCGAACCCGTTGAGAGTTCCTCTGAGGTCATTACATTCAGCTCTGATATCACCTCTAACAATTATATTATTTATCGGTATTGATCGGTAGTCCTAATTCGATTCGAAGATGAACTGGCCTAACTCGTCCACCTACCATTCAATAAAGTATCTGTATCTGGATCGGCCGAGTGCAAGCTGTGGAAACGAGGCAGCTAACAAGGAAACAAGGAAATGCCACTGCTCGTGGACTTCGCCTCACCATTTTGCTTCCAAGGCCCTTTACCTTCCTGAGAAATCCTCTACTTCGAGAAAATGAAGTTGGATGAAGGTACACAATTTTGCGCTGTAGTCAGGGCTTGGCATGGAAACGGTATTCTGTTGGTCGGTCCCTCTTCCGTGCCAACCACTTTGTCATAAGAGATCACCATCTCATTAATTCATTAATCCCGATGCCCCTCTTCTCTTTTGGCAACAATAGTCCTACCCTCCTGGCTCAGAACTGTTCACTCGCACTACTACGAGCCCGCAATACCAGCGTTCCATCTTTTTTTGTCCTTCCGTTTTTGGGGTTTGAAACCTAGGGTACAGCCGTACCTCTTAATGCTTTCCTGCTTTCATTTTCTCCCTCTTCATGCCTTAGTCGAAGAAGTACTATAGAACGCTAACTGGAACTATATGAAGTAATTGTGATCGTAATGTCTTTAGTGAATTTGCGAAGTCTTGACCGAGATAGCGCAACCATACTCGGTTCGCGTTCTAACATTGTCACTTTAGTCAGAGCCCGGAAATCAGGAATAATTGGGATTCGCCTCTAACGGCATTTCAGCTTTTAGTTCTTAGGCAAAAATATTTGAATGGTGTTGTAATTCACAGTGGTCCCAACTCATTTCAATGGAGTACGCATTGAGCCACCTTCAAACTGATTAGCAGTAGGTGATTTGTGGTTGACCTGAGGCACAACTTGAAGCCGATGGCGATTGAAAGCAGCATAGCTATAAAATGAGGCGAGTTACTTGTTGTGGTCAGGTGTTCGTCTTTCGTACTTAGTAGTTTTTGCACCGATAAGTACATAAGATTTTTCTTCTCCTAGGAATTTTTCAATGTTTTCTTGTTTACGTCATGGGTTCTCCTTCACAATCCTTCATGAGGGTGGATGTCAAGTATATTCCGTTTTCAGGCTCTGAAGACCGAAAAGTCAGCCGAATGAAGTTGCAGTATCTGATCGAGGCTTCATATATGTGTTCTGGGCATTTAACACTATTTTAAGATCCACTGAATCTCTAAAATAGTCACTTTGTCCATAACATTTATCAGAGGATCGTTCAAAAGATCCTAAGTACAGTTCTGGGTGCAGTTTCTCGAAACACAGGTCACTGTACACCATCCACAATGGGCCAGACTGACCTGTTTTGTTCCACTTTTGAAGCTGCTTTCATCCTCTGTTTCTAGTCAAAAGAGAGGGTAAGCGATTCCGTCCAACGCATGGGTAGACAGCTGTGAGACAGGTTGTACTGGTTTGACGGCATCACAGACTAGCACAATTTCGCTGCAACAATAGGCGAGGGGTACAATGCGCGTGTTTTCTCTCGTCCCCTATGTATGCCTACTTTTATGTTTGTGGTGCTTTTGTGACTACAGCAGGTAGTAGGGTCAAATTTTTGCAGGGTTTGGTAATCACAAGAATTGGATGACAAGGTTAGCCATCACCTGGTAGCCTCTTTGTTGCTATTCTAGTACTCCATTGCCTGAAGTGTTCTTTGGTGTAAGAGCTCACAGGCCTGCGGTTCAACGAGGAGCGTTTTTCAGCCGCTGAGTAAGTTCGAGAACCGTGAAAGTTAGTGCCAGCTTGTTCTATATGACTGTGCGACAACACTAAAAAGAAAAATTTTTGTTTTGTTATAGAGGGATTTTGCTTAGTCAGTGTCATTATGGCTTCTCGAATTGTTTTTTTTTTGTTTTTCAAACTCTAAAGCTATTTTACTCCCGTGCAGTCCTCCACTTCGAGTAATATTTAAACTTTTCTTACCAACAGTTTGGTGAGCCGTTTTTTCACCAGAAAAAGAGTCCATGCGATGAACGTTGTTCTCAATGCTTGGAAACCTTGTGAATTCGGGCAGTCGTGAATTCTGCAACTTCGACATTCTCGTAAGTGATACTTACTATCGTGCCATCAAATGCATCGCAGACTCGACTGTTACTCAGTCAGCAAAAAACACTTCCTGGCGTATCGAAAAACCCCCCTTTGCTTCTTCGAAGTGAAGTGAGACTTGGACATACGCGAATCGGAAGATGCGATGCACATTGTTGCCTTGTTTTAAAAAGTCAGACACTTTCATTCGCTTTGTCGCTAGCACAGGAGCAAGTTATTTTTCTTATTTCCGTGAATTTGATTAAAATTTAGTGAACTCGTTGTTGTGACTAGAATAGTGACAAACCAGAGAACTACTGAAACCAAAAATGGGATGCGGTCATCATGCTCTCTTTGTTTGCTAATTTCTCGCTGTATCTCGTTGACGGTTGTTCGAACTTGATGCTTTTGTTGAGAATTTTTCTCTTCCCTGCTAAATTTGCCTCTAATCCATCTTTCAGGTAGTGAAACATGCTAGGAAACGTGATAGCACGGAAACGAGGACGCAGAAAGAAGAGGAACTCTCTGGCACCTCAAAATGAACAATGTGCATCTCCTTGTAAACAAGAAGCACAATCATCAGCCGATACAAAGCCATGCCAAAATATTCAAAATCGTCGAAATAATCCGTAAGCTATTTACACAGCTTCATTAGCCGCATTCATAGTACAAGATGTACATGAGTCCGATCGACATGCGACGTATTGATTGAAGGCGTCGTCGATCAATACGGCGCATGTAGACTTCTTATCACCCATGTAGCTTTCCGCTGTACAGCGAATAGTTAGATAGTGATTTGGGTATGAAGAATTATCAGAAGTGTGAAGATTACTTTTCCCGAAGAAGGGTTCTAGCAGAGTGAAAGATCCGATTCTTTTGAAAGAAAAGATGAAGGAAGGAACATGACGACTTATTACGCGTTAATGAATAGCCGTTCGAGAGTCTCTGACGTGAGCATACTGGAGTAGTTCCCATTTTCAACGACGATGTCGACTTTTTAACGCTTGTGGCGTCCGCGTCGCCCTCGGAATGCGCTCATCGGATTTCCCGATGGAGATGTGGGGAAGGAGAGGATGGGAGGGGAGGGGGGTCTGCTCTTTTTCAACACCGTGCGCAGAGAAAGAGGTAGCTGATTTTACCTATGTCTAGAAAATTTTCTCAGTCAGAGGATATGGTTTTTTTGTAAGCCCTAGTAGGGGAGAAGCAACGGCGTGGGTGAGATGATTTCCTCGTGATCCAATTGACTCATTCATCCAGGTGCTCCTTCCTTCCTCAGGCTCGTTTTGAAAATCTATTTCTAAACTAAGAAATTTTTTTCCTAAGCACCATTATGGGCTCGCAACTCTTCTACCATCACTCCTCTGGGCTCTATGCCTAATGTGGAAATGTGTTGCTCCATCCACCCCCCCCCCCCGAATACATTTTCAACGGTCTCCGTTTGCATTCACTGTTTTGAGGTTGGTTGTTTGGTAATGAAACATGGATTAAGTTGTCAACCTGCCTACGTTATTTTCAGCTATGGTTTTCTTCCCCTTTTGTCAGGCTAATTCTTTTTAGGAGAAAAGCAGTACAAGATGTTTCCAATCACAAAATAACGGAGTTTTTTCCCGTTCGAAGAAGCTCTAGGAAGACTGGTAAACAACTCGAGGTTTGGTTTTTTTTAGTTATAAAGTGCACTTCATCCCCAGAATATGTACCTTCTTCAAAATTCATGAGTGGCTCTTTACAAAGGCTTTGAATGTTCTCCATAGGTTGGTTGGAACGAAAAAGGTCAATCATTCAGGAAGAAGAAAAGGGTGCACTACGGGATGCGATTTACAACATGACCAACGAAACTCTAGTTGAAGTCTATATGGACGAAAAGAAGGGACGCGGCATCCGAGCCGGCAAATCCTTCGTGAAGAACGAATTTGTCATCGAATACAAAGGTTTGTCATTTCATTTACACTACCTGAAGTAGCGCCATGCAGTTTATGGTCCGACAGGAAAGTCGTTTCCATCAGGTACTCTGTTTCCTACCCATTACTCCCTTTAAGAGTTGGTGAATACCGGAAAATCTGACTAAATCTCTCACTAATCACCTATAACTTCCTTTTCTCCACATTGAACCCCGCACTCCGATACCTTTTACCTTGTCTTTTCTGTGGGTGCTTTTATAATGAGTGGACTGCAAATGAACGAAGTCAGATTGAAGCCCCGTTAATTGAGTTCATACAATTTCGAAGTTCTTGGGTTATGTTTCAGTTTTAAAGATAAGTGCTGAAAAGGGCGCTGAACTGTAGAAATGCGGCGCTTTTTTGGCATCAGTAATAACTCTTGCAGCTGGCGCGTATATGAGGGCACTATTCATTTCAGCTGTAATATTTGGCTTGTACTGTAGATTGAGTCTGAATGTTGCTCTCCGTTTTTCTCAGAAATGGAAGTGGGGTCCCCGGATAAATGATGTTGTTCTCCAGACCTGTTATAATGCTAGGGAACGCTTAAAAGAATGTCCTGACGTCGATGGTAGCATCTATCCCAAGCGGTGGCCTTGAGGGGTTCAAGGGCATCATGTAAAATGCTCAGCCACTTTTTTGCACTAAATTTTTAATACCCGTTCGTTGAAAGTGGTCCAGCATGCTCAGTTCATCGTTGTTGAATTGCGACTGGTTTTCAACGAATTCAAGAATTATCATATCTTTCCATCAAACATTGGGTCTCCTGCTCTCCGGCTACTGCTTAGAATGGCTTTGAACTCGGTTATCGCACACTGTGCAAGTCCCATTTTGAAAAGTTACTTTGGCTACAACTTCTTTCAAAGCAGTTCGTTCTCGGAAAGCTTTTTTGTCCACCGAGTAAAAGGTGGGGTTTCATGTTAGTTGGTTTACCGACAAGTCTGTAGCAGACATGAAACTAACCGACCTGCTAAGGAATACAGGAACTCATTCCATGCAATCACGCACCTATTGGTCTTTTTCTAAATGGCATCTTTCATAGTCCACGACCGGTCGCGCGACCAGTCGCCGGTCGCTAGCGACCGGCGACTAGTCGCGCGATCGATCGCGCGACTGGTCGCGCGATCGGTCGTGGACTATGAAAGATGCCATTAAAATGCTCAGCAGTGTATGTATATAAATAATTATTTCGTTGTATAATGATTCCACCCATATTTCCTAACACGCTCGTCGTTTCACGGTTACCTTTCGAGGTGTGCAGAGTATTTCTTCTCGTCAACTTTTTCATTCTGTCAATGAAGTTTCTGTTAGAAGAAAACTCACAAAGTAACCCTTGTTCCAGGTGACATAATGGATTATACTTCGGCAAAAATTCGTGAGGAAGAGTACGCGAAAGACCCGTCCATTGGTTCCTACATGTATTTTTTCAAATACAAGAGTAAGAGATGGTGTGTGGATGCAACGAAGGAGTCCATCTACAAAGGTCGTCTTATTAATCACAGTGCATTGCGTCCCAATCTGCGAACCAAGGTTAGTTCCAAGATTCTTTCTCACAATCAGATTTTTCAATTAACTATAAAGTATGTCTACTTATTTTGTTTTATTTTGCAGCTCACCTTATTCACTGTTTCACCGATTTTTCTATAAATTCTAAAATCTGACTTCAGCTCTTAGCGTGCCGGTTGAGTATTTTTAACCAGCCCCATAGCGAGACGACCAACGTGACTCTTTTCCATTCATTCCTATCTTCTGTTAAGGCTGATGTCTTTAAAACTTTCCTCTTCATTGGTATACAAATTTTAGGTGGTGGAATTCGAAGACGGTCTTCATCTAATCTTGGTAGCGAAACGTGACATTGATGAAGCCGAAGAGCTTCTGTACGATTATGGGGATCGCACACCAGAAACTGTAGCCAGAAATCCTTGGCTTGTGAATTCGTAGCTTCAATGTGAGCTCATAATTAAAATTTGAACTCGATCTTTCTCACCTTCGCAATTTTACTTGTTTTGCTTTCAATAGGGCAGTGTTTTCATTCCATTTTTATTGCCGTTATGCATAGTTGTGGTGCTCTGGGAACGAGCTTTTAGTAACTTCTTAGGGAGTCTTTCTGCTTTCCGATGAAAACCAGGTAAAATTCGATTTGCGGTGTTCTTGATGCTTACGGTCTATTTGCAGGATTTGTGTTACTGTGTTTTTAAGGTAGCCGTGCAAAAAGAATTCAGTTTGCTGTTTTGATTGGATTTTTTATATTCCCGGGGTCGTTTCCGCATAAAATGTTCGGATAAACCGTGCCGCGCTTTCTCCTGTCAAGTAGCATAACCAATCTATCAACTATCACGATGAGCAAGAGTTTTTGCCGTTGCACATTGACTGTCTGTCTGTTCTGTTCTTCGTTCTCTCTTTTTTCCTTCGGACTGAACTAGATCTCCCATAACCACTTTAACTCGCATGTAAACTATTCTATTTTTCATAAAGTCGATTATTTAATATTTCTCACTGTATATTATGTTCTTTAATTCCTAACCATTTGTAAAATGAGTCGAACTATTTTCTTTTTGCAAGAGGCTTGTTTGTATATACTTAACACGCAATTGATTGTGCTCTTGATAAAACTACGGCTCAATCTGTAAATACAGCAACGAATTCGCTTCCTAGCGAGGTCTACTTATAAATCTGCGGCGAAAAATAAGCGGTATTTGCTCAACGATAACGTTTTAGGTGGTGAATGCAACAGATTCTGCATGTTGTCGTCGTTGGATTTCACCACAAGAAAGGATGTCAGGTGTGTTGCCACACTTTGATCGCGACCCCTGGAGTTTAGCAACAGTTCCTGGCATTATCGAAAGCCACCAGGGTTAATATGCGCGCATCCTGCGCGAGTAATCCTAAAGAAACTGTTTGAAATAAGGCTATCGGAGTGTTCTGCAGTTGTAATGCAGTTGTAAGCGGAATCCCCTACTCCAGTTATGCGAACGAAAAGGTGCAGTTTTAGACAAAATCGATGATTCTTTAGGGTTCCCAGTGGGTTGCTGGTTCTTGTAAAGGTAGCGCCACTGCGAACCGGGTCCTTAGGTCGTATTTCGCCCAGATAATACAACCGTTGATTGGTGCCACGTTGGTTTAGAATTAATTCTTGATGAGTGTATGTTGAAATGGAGTTGAATCCTCAGAGAATGAGCAGTACAGAGACTTCATATAATATTTCACCTTTGGATCAGCTCCGTGATAGTGCCTACTGCAGTGAACAAAGTAGTCATTGCTGAAGGGATTGGTTTACTCTTCACAGCAATATCAGTTCGATAGCCTGTCATGGAAGGAATAGTGATCCGGCGTGATTTGGTGCAGCGAGGTTTTAAGCGGCCATGCCGTCTTCAATAGCTACCCTCTAGATTTTTCCTTGTTCCTCTTATCCCTCTGCTGTCTATTACATATCTTGAACGTCGTCATGGATTGATGTTAACCTGATTGAGTAGAGATAAAGCAAGCTCATGTTATCTTCGGAAACCAATAAGTCCATGAGGGATCAAATACCTCCCTTCTAGGTGTTGCCGAGAATTTTTTTCTTGGAGATCCAAAGTGGTTCTCTACTCTGATTTCTCTATTGATTAGACGTTTAGAGCACGAGTTTTAGCATATCTTTTCTGGTGTGGTGGCGAGATAAACATATTTTTAAGGTTGAGTTCTCATATCCAAAACTGAATGGAAATGGGGAGGGAGGGCTGCCTGATGAATGGGTACACCTCCCGTCGCTTGCTCTTCCTGATGGAGCTCATAATACAACAGATGGTACGATTGATTATTTTTATTGGTCAGATGAAATCCTACCCAACCTTTCAACAGCTCCCTTGATGAGAACAATCGCGGACCTTGCTGTTTCAGATGTGATCTTCTTTGTTCTTCCATCAAGAGACAACCCACAAGAAGCTGTATTCGGGATTTCTTGCTATCGTCAAATTCCTGCTAGTGTAAGGTTTCAAACAGTATGATTGCCTTGCTAAAGTTGGTGATGTAAAGAGGGAGTACAAAAGCGAGCTTATCTTGGCTCCCGTTCTAATCAGTAAGTACGGGGCATTCTCTTCTAGCAGTGCAAGACTCATATTCAAAGAGTTTTTAAAACGTTATCTAGCGTTGATTGCTGAATGCACTGTTTGGTCACTAACTCATTGATGCCATTCTTTTTTTTCGTGTGTGAAGCTGGAGCCAAAATGCATACGTGAGCATTTTGGTCCCAGTGCACGTCTCTAATGATCCATGGATCCATAATTTGGGCTCGAGTTAACGCGGTAATAGCTGCTCCGTCCATCTAGGTTTTTTATGCTCCACTTGGGTGCGAGCAAAGCGATGGAAGAAATTACATGTTACTCAAGTGGTGGTTCCGGCAGTAGTTTCCGACACTTTCGCTTTTGCTTGAGGTTGTTAGGAGTGGGATAAGCCAAAATGGCACATTGTCAGGGCCAAGACCAGACAATTGTGCAGGCATAGAAGAAGCATAGGAAAATGAATTACTGATTCATTTCTTAGCAGGCCATAATAATACTTTAAAACGCTTTGTCTGGTTGTGTTGGGGTAGGTTATTAAACTGGACATTAAGGGAAAAAAATGGTGGAAAGAGTTCAATCAAGCTCGAGGCTGATAGATTAGCCAAGTTTGTGGTGTGGGAGATGAAATTTGTTGGGGCGCACTCACTCGCTGAGTGCCGCGCCTGCGTGCAACAAATTAGGCTTTCTCCGAGTCAAAATCCTTTAATCGATTTCCAGCCCAAGTTTCTGAAAGAAATTGGTAAAGAACCTGCTGTTTCACGAGAAAGGTGGACCGTATTGATCTTCATTTAGGAATATCTCGCATGGACGGCGCCCTTAACAAAAAAACTCAACTAGGTTCTCAAACAGCCTTAATGTCATGAAAAAAAGATAAGGAATTCAGCAATTCTCGAAGCGAGCTGGGGCACCCGAACACCTTCCTGCTCCATGATGTTTGTAGTAGTACTAATTTTTGGTATTTATTGTGAAGCTTTACAACTGAGTTTCAGAACGCCTGCAAACTAAAAAAAATGTGAAGGATAGATAGCAGTCAGAGCGATTATGCGAATAGCGTATACCTCCACTTTATGAAGGTCATATTCATAATCTTGACGTGAAAGTGTTAGGATTGTATATAACAGTAGCTGTAAATTATAATTATTGCCATTATTTTTGTTATTATTATTATTATTATTATTATTATTATTATTATTATTATTATTATTATTATCATTATTATCATTATCATTATTATCATTATTATTATTATTATTATCATTATTATTATTATTATTTTGACTTGATGTTTTGTTAGCTGGTGTTATACGCCGCGTACGGCGAATCTGATCCAAAAGTCTCGCAAGGATAGCGATTTGTGGGGAACACCTCGGCCTCGGAGGAACTTACACTAAGCATACGAGGGGAAGCGGGGTCTCGGTAGTGTAAGGGATAAAAAGCCCGATGCTTGAGCAGCACTTATACGGGTTCGAGTCTCGTCCGGGGCCGAAGGCCCACAAATCGCCGTCCTTGTTAGATTACTATTATTGTTTTGTTATTGTTCCTTTATAATTACTACTCTTACTATTACTATTGCCAATTTGACATATACGAAGTGATAATATCGATACGTATCGATTGAATGGATCCTTTATCGTTTTTTTTAGGATCTGGTTGCAAAATCTGATGATGTCACAAGAAGTACTGTCCAAAAAAGCGTCTGCGTACTGTCGCGAGCTCCGCTTTTCGGAGCTTTGAAAGCAAAGCTGGAACTCATTACGCGTGCATATTTCGAAGAACGTGATTTTAGAAAGGTATAATTTCAGCAATTCAGTAAAGTAGGACTGTTTTTGTACAAGTTTGTTCTCTCAGGTCGAGGTTCTCTCACAAATGTACTCGAACTTGTGTGATATGTTCAATGGAGAAGCCGTCGATGGTCAAGCGGCCAGCATAGGTACGAAGAATTCACATGAGGTTATACTTCATTTCTTATCGTTACCTTTCAGATATCTCGGTACAGGACCTGTTCACCAGATTCCGTCACCGAGCACTCATATTGTTCAAGTTATTATTACTAGAGAGAAAGGTCAGATTTCTTTTGAAGCGTTTTGCGAGATATTGATTGCAGTTGAAAAAAAAGTCGGCCCTTCGTCAAACTCGTTCAATCACTTTCTCAAAAAACTGGAGGCTTAGGAAGTCTCAAATTTGTCGTAGTCTGGCTTAGTCACGACTTTCGAATTCCCGTAGCTCGTGACTACAGCGATTGTTCGTATGTTGCTGCGCGCTTCCTGTTAAAAGCCAAGATATAGGATTAAAGGCTTCGTGTTCAGGTCGTTTTCAACATATCTCCTGCCCAGCTTCTTGGAACTACTATGCTAGCCCTTATTTCTTTATATCCGAGTACAGTTTCTATTGTTTCTTTTTATGAATTCAGGCATTTGAATGAATAAGCGGCGAAAATTGCGTTACTGTTACAGAAATGCTTGAGGAAGGGCTTCGATACTGTACATCGCCCTGCACTCATCCTGAAACAACAGAAACCACTTCCCAGGCTACAGAAGAAGATGAGAATGAAGGTATATTTTATTTGTTTTCGATTTTCTCTATCGTTTTTATCGGCAAATAGCTCAAAAACGGGGGTTCTGAAGCTACATTTGCAGATCTTGGTGATGAGATTGTAATTCCTCCATCTAAGGCGATTCTTGATGATGATCCATTTACAAAAAAGGACAGTTTCGGTTTTCCGTTAAGTATATTCACCAACGTAAGTGGTTTCCATGATGCGTGATATTTCTTTTATTCTTGTTGATACTTTACATTCTGATAGTTTGATAATTTGAAGTGATATAAGTTTTAGGGTAACTTGTTTCATCCTTACCTTTCAATCTCTTACCTGGATATGATTCGATCCAAGTCCGTGCGCGGCTTCGCTATTGGCGCTACGAATGCACTTTTTGTCACGAAAAGAGATCTTATCGATGCCATTGTAACGGTAAATCCTTGTTTCTACTCATCCTGCATTCTAATTGATGTGGTACTTTTAAATACTTTATTGATTGGAGATATCAAAGATGATATGACTCAAATGGCAGGGTGGGGATAGTGTATTGCCATAACTCGGTATTTAGTATTTAATCCCGGTAAATCAAGGGTCGGTCAACCGGTACTAGGCTTGTTCGGGATAACAAAATCGCTCCGTTTTAATCGTTCTTCCCGCAGGTTATTGAACAAGCCACCTAGAATTCGAACTCTATCACGATTTTGGATGATACTATTCCAAAAACTGAGCTGTTCAACCTCAGAAGGCTCAATTTCTAGGCTCTTCTAAAGTTGTATAGCCTAACACCATTCCGTAATTCTTTTATGTTTTTAAATTGACGCCCAAGACATCGGACAAATTGAATTTGTGGACAGTAATCTGAAGCGCGAAGTGTCTCTGACCTCGGCCGATCTTCGGTTTGGTGACTACATTCTTCGAAGTATAGAAGAGAATAAGAAGTCGAGTGCAGGCGAGTTTCCTGACAGGTCTGAGAGTTGTTACTTTTATAAAGTGTCCCGTTTGCAGTTTTCGAAGGAAATGATGAATGGCTACGGCTGCGCATGCGCGAATACCTTCTAGCGATGGCAGCGAGCTCGCGATCAGATCTTGCAGTCGCCGTGGCTGATTATGGTGCCCCCTTCATTCATAGTTGGAGATTTACAAGGTTCATGGTGAAGTTCCTGTAATCACAAGTTGTTTTTTTATATGCGTTCTTCAGGAACTATCGGATTTGGATGTTGGGACAGCATGAGGATCTGAGCGGTGTTGCTCCAGGGTAAGTTTGCTACAGCGAAATATCGACAAACCATCCATTTTTCTCAATTGCAGGCATGCTTTTGCTGGGCAGTTGGGTGTGTATGATGTTCTGCTGAGAGTTGAGCATACAGTTAGTGGGTCTGAAGGAGCTCGACGAGCTCTTAGTGCGATTACTTCGACTGGAAAAAATATCGGTGAGTTTTGTTGTTGTGTTCAAATAGTAGAACCTGTGTGTTCAATTTCGGCATTTGGATGAATACATTCCCCTATACTCTATTTCTTTTTTCGTTTCGGTTTTCGTGATCAATTATTTTTTCGCTTTCGTCTAAGTATGCTTTAAAACAGCGTGAAGCACACAATATTGGTGTGCATTGTTTACACGCATTGGTGTATTTCTTACTTTCTCTTCTATCTTTACTCTTATTCCATTGCCAGTTTTTGATATTCTCTTTTGTCTTCGCATTTGCTAAAAGTTTTTTTTCTGCTAAAAATCTCGAAAGGCATGGGGATCATGGGGATGTGAGCGCTAGAACCAATATTTTGCTTTGTATATTCTACTTTACCACTTCAGCAGACTTAATTTATTCGAAATTTTACAGTGTAGAAAAATGGGACGTTTCTCTGTGCTACGAGAAGCAAAACTGCGTGGGCTAAGATTTTTCCTCTCCTTTTTTTCAAAACTTTTATTACCTGGATTTTAGAATTATTCCCATGTATTCTACATTTTCAGTCTCAGAGCTGTCGGCGTCCTGTTTTAATGTATGACAACTTAAGGTGAGACTGGACAAAAAGTGCGACAGAGTTTCACAACTTGGTTCAAGGGTGGTGTGCAAAATGCTGAAGAAGCAACAGAGTCCCCAGAATCCTCAGTAAGTCTTATCTTCCTTATCTTCCAAAACCAAGAACAATGATCAACTTTTTTGAAAAAAAAATTAAATGAATTAGTGGCATGCTTTTTGTGATGCATGGCTATTTTGATATCTTTCAGCAATATTAAAAAATAATCTTTTTCCTAACCCTTAGGCTACCGCGCAAGTTTTGCCTTGTCTATCACGCGGTTCCAAGCGCTGTTTTCGTGGTGTGCGTGTGTCGGACGATGCCATCGCTCAAGGTTTCTCATTTTGTCATTGATCAAAATTTCCGAGTTCATCCCCTTTTGCTATAGGTTTTTAAAATGAACTAATTATGAGATATGGAACCGACGTGGTCTAAATATTTTGAATACCTTCATGCAAACGCACGAACTTCTGCGCTACTTTACTTGTGAACTTCTAGACACAATATGAACTCAAAGTAGTTTATAATGATTATTCTGTTATTACTCTATTGACAAATTGATGAAAGCATTTAGAAGGCGTAGCTTTTTCAAGTAATAGCAATATTGCCAGAAAAATATTAATCTCTGCCGCAATAGAAGCTTGTTAATGAGAAATCATGCAAATCACGAAAAATATGTATCACTCTGAACTGGTGAAGAAATGAAAAGAAAATAGCAAAGATCAGATTAATCCTCTGCTGACTGGAAATATTGACCAACAGATTGTTCAAAAAGTTACCGATCTATTGTAATATTGAATTTCATGAACTGGAAGGAGACACTTCTGGGCAAAATGACAGAAGAGCTACGTCTTCGTGGATCAATGGCTCTGAGCGAGAGCAACTAGCCAATAAGGTAAAAAGATCTATAACTTGGAAGTCTTGCTTCGATTTAATGACATCAAATACTCATAGGATTCGAAGACAAAATTTCTAGGTAAAAAGCATATCATCATGGATACGAGGTACGCAGCGGAATGAAGAAGCGGGTTCTACTAGTCAATCTCCATCCGAAGAATCTTCACGATAATCTCATAACATTGTTGAAATGGGACCTTTTTATCTTCACACCTTTCTTAGTTATTCTATTGTTTGTCGATCTCAATTATATCACATTTATGTACGACATTCGAGTGAAAATCTTGTTATTTTCTTAATTTCCTTATTTGGATATGTTCTTTACTTTCACAGATTTTTATGTACTTCGTTATTTGTCAGGATTGTAACTAATCAAATCACGTGTTAACATTGCCGTGGTAGTCAGCCCAACAAATCTGAATAGGTGTTTTCCACCAATGTAACTCGTAACTAAACGTGCGTTTCAACATAAGTGGCCAACTTTTTTCTTTCACAAATGCACTGTTCTTTGACTATCTGTGTTCCTCGACAATGATCCTGAGCAAAAAATAAATAATTTTATTTCTGCAATTTATATTACATGTCTACTACAATTTCAATGGATAGAACCGTTCTGGCAGTGGTATTTCATCTCTGCTAAATTCCTAATTAAGGAGACCTGTAAAAAATGCTTCAAGGAATTAGCTTTTGGGAATCTGAAACTACAGTTAGAACTTTTTGTTCAGAATTACTTTGTATAAAAGAATGCAATAACCGAATGAAGTGAGGTATACGTAAGGCTGATGAATGTCGATTAAGTTCAAGCAATGACTGCACCGGTGCAAGTAAGTCGCAACTATATATTCAAATATTTTACATTCCGGAATACTTAGGCCCTTCTCCTCCCTCCGGTGTTACCCAATTGATATTCTGAGTGGGATCCTTGATATCACAAGTTTTGCAATGGATACAATTTGCAGCATTGATTTGTAAGCGCATTTCTGACGGATTGTTTTCTTGAGGAACATACTCATAGACGCCTGGAAGAAGTAAGTCAAGATAAGTAATTATACAAGTGCACTATAAAGAGAAAGTCAGTTGAATTTTAAAACCAACTAACCAGCAGGGCAAAATCGTTGTTCGGGACCGTCATATATTTTCAAATTAATTTTCTCTGGAACCTCATCATTTTTGAGCGTAAGGTGAGCGGGTTGGTTTTCTTCGTGAATTGTTCCGGTAAGCGATACAGATGATAACAAATCAAATGTGATTTTGTTGTCGGGTTTTGGATACTCTATTGGCTAAAAGGACTTTACTAAAGGCATTATTCATAGGATGATGAAGGCTAAATGAACGTTGTTTACCTTACACTCCTCCTTCTTCTTGAGCTTTTCATTATCCTTCTTACCATGATGGAGTGTCCAAGGTTCTTTGCCCCGTCCCAACACATAAAACATACCGGAGTACATCAAACCGCCCAACCAGCCTGCGATAGAAATTTGATGGGATGATAGAAATAAGAGCAGAAGAAATAACTAAAACTATTACCCATTCCGGTGTTGAAAGAGGGACGTATATTACGAGTTGCCTTCAGTTCCTTATAAACGTAGCTGTTCTCAAAGGCTTCCGTGTAAGTGCTGGGTGTGATACCTGAAAGTGACGGGATAAAATGAGCGAGGACGGTGACGCCCATATTACTGACGCACTTAATAAACACTACAACAGATTTTACTACTTTGTGGTATAATTATTCTCAAGAAAAATTAGATGTTTTCTGATTGTCAGAATCACGTAGACGAAAAAAACAAAATATGCTAATCCAGTACGAGGAATACTATAATGTGAGAGACTGGCAACGTTTGAGCTTTGCTCACTTGTATTCGAGATTGTATGCGCTTCCGGATGGGGGTTATTAATGGAAGTGGCAAAACTATGGCGTAAAAGAGAGAATAATAAAAGGATCTGTATAAAAACTTTGCATGAAACCTACACGAAACTTCCTCCTTGATTTCTGGGTAGATAGAATCGGCGGCCAACATTCCAGTTTTCATAGCAACGTGCACTCCTTTTAACTTTGCAACATTCAACGTGCTAGCAGTACAACCAACAAGACAACCACCTAAAAAACAAGACAAAACAGATGTTACTTGTATGTAGGAAGTCGTGCAGTAATCTGAGTCTTGTAAAACAACCCGGATCGCAAGGCTACTAGGAGGTTCTTTGTTGTTGAATGACACCGTTCTCATTAATATTTAGCTATGATTAAGGGTTCTCTGTAGTGTCGGTTTTTTGCTTGTTAAATTGTCTAGAAAAAGGACGTTTTGAACTAGTTGATTAGAAAATAAGATTTCACCGCTTCAAATAAAAATCAATGAGTATAAGGGACGAGATTATAAGCAATTTTGTTTGAAACCTATACGAAGTAGTTAAGGAACTAACCAGGGAACGTTAATTTCGGTACGGTCTGGAATCCTCCTTCATTTAGAGCGCGCGCACCATATCCCAACCTTTTGCCTCCTTCGAAGTGTTTTCGAATCGATGGATGAGTCTTCCATCTTTGGAACTCCTAATCGGTCTTTTTCTGAGTACAATCCTCCAGGAAGTTGGAAACGTTAAATGAAAAAGGGCACTGCTACTTACGGAAGTTCTTTTACCTGGAAAGGATTGATATACGTGTTCTTATAGTCCAGGGCAACCACGAAACCGACTTGAGCCAGGGGCAGTCCCTCGTCAGCGATATGGTATATGAATGAGCCGCCGTACTGGTCCATCGCCTAAAGCCTATTGAAATGATGGCTATAAATTCAGTCCCGTTATGATCAATAGCAATATCTTTTGTAAGTTTTAATTAGACATCCCATTAACACTTAACAAATTCATTGATCTTTCGAAAAATGATCGAGATTTTTTAGCAAACAAATGAGCATCATTCAAAGTAGAGGGACAAAGCCAACTCTTGCAAATGAGGGCATCTCATGATGAAAATAAATCATGATCAAACTTGCCAATGGCCATCCCATGGTGTGCTCAATGTAGCCTGGCTTATGCTTTTCTGGATCTAACTCCCATAATTCCTTGAATCCAATACCAAAGGACATTGGATGTTTAACCAGTTTGAACTTCTCCAGAATCTGAAAATCCAGCAAATTAAATCGTTGTTTACGACATAAATTGACATTTCGTTTTCTCGGAAAAGCAGAAACTAGAAATAAGCAAAATTTTAAAGAACGTTCTGGAAACAGATAAGCAGCTTGAATTAGCTTCAGAGTCGTAGTTATATGGGTTTTAGTCAATCCTATTCAATGTAGTGTCTCTAAAACTTCCATTCAATCCAGGAAGGGTATGTAGCTTCACCGAATCAAGCGAATATTTTAAAGAATCAAAGAAGTCGCATCAATCTGACCATAATTTATAACGGACAAAAGTGACCGTATCTCGAACAAAAGAGAAAACATTCGAAGCCTGCGAAACTCTTTTTGGAACTTCTGAGTCACGGAAAACTCTCATTTTACTGTTTCTTGAAACATCCGGGTTGCCCAAAGTCAGCAAACCCCTGTATTATAAAGAAACCTTACTTGTTTGGTAAGATGACCACGGCACCCTTCCGCGAATATCGTACACTTCCCATGCAGCTCCATTCCCCGAGCAAAGCTCTCCTTCAAATAGAGACAGTGAGAGCCAGGGATTTCAATGCAAACGGTAATTATTACCTTTGGAGACCCATCCTTGGCAATACCAACATCATTTGTGGCTATTCCTTTCACGCTACCGTCTTCGTTGTAAAGTACCTTAGCAATACTTTGTAATCACTAAGTCTCTACAAAAGATTTATAGAGAAAAACCTCAGAAGCGGCTACGCCAGGCCAGATTTCGACACCTGCAGCCTCCGCTTGTTCTCCTAACCATCGCACAAGGTTACCAAGACGAACAATATAATTACCTAGGCGAAAAAACCAATCAATCGACTCCAAAACCAACTGAAATAGGATAAAATACCGTGGTTGTAGAGGGGCATGCCAGGAAACATCGGAATCGGGATGCGTCTGTTTTTCGTAAGAAGAGCCACGGATTCTGACTAAACTAAGTAGTATTACTTGTACATGAAGATTGACATAAACCTCCACTTTTACACAAGACCTACCGTGACTTGTTGAAAAACGGGAGCTCCCATCTCTTTCCAGTTAGGGAACAGTTCGTCGAGTGCCTTAGTCTCAATCACAGCTCCCGAAAGAATGTGAGCGCCTACTTCGGGAGCTTTTTCTACCACACAAACTCTCACATCTGCAAATATAAGAAATATGTGATATGCAGTTATATTCAGAAAGAAAATGAAAATGCAAAAACTGGTTAAACAGGTTCATTGAAACAGATTCATTAACACTCTGGGAAATTACCTTTTCCATCTTTCTCCGCAAGTTGTTTCAGTCGAATTGCAGCGGACATTCCACTTGGTCCTCCACCGACTATAACTACATCGTACTGATCGCTTTCTCTGTTCATATCGATGTCCTTCCATCTTGGGTCCTTAGCCCTGTCCTGTAGTTTGGAAGTTAAGAGATTTTGTACTGTGAAGGGGGTTTGGAGCAGTTTGCATGCCATCGAACCGATTTAAAAATCGAAAAGTTAAATCTACTAGTCTCACTCGCCCCGCGCCTGCGTGACGAGCTACAAAAACCTGCGCCACATGCGTTGTACCACAACAAGGCTGTTCTTTTTGTACCAAACAAGGCGCATATTCTGTGGTGGTACTCAAATTCCTACCGTAATAGTAACCGTCAAACAATCGCTAAAATAACGTTGTTTCAAAAAAAGAGATGTGTAGTCCGTGACTATCCCACGACCATTACCTGTTATTTCACGACTGATAGTCAAAGAATGCAGGAATGCAGGATGGGTGTACGTTGGGTTTGTGGCCCTAGAATAAAATGGCATTCTACTGGCTGTCCGGTTGCCCTCCAGAGAGCAAAATAGAGCAATGGAAGTCTGGCACAAGGTCTTACTGGGTTTTCATGGATAATTTATCCTTGTGCGTTCAAATGTTTAAGTTCTTGAGTGGTTTTACCTGGATCAAAAATTAGTGGCTTTTCTTATGGTGAGACACGATTTTGGAAACTGATCATGAAGCAAATTTCAACATTGGGATGTATGGGAATTACTGATGTTCTTAGAGCACATCGGAAAAGCAGCACTAAGTAAGTAGGAAGGAGCTACACAAATGATCCAGGAGAAAGCGTAAGCGGATATAGAGTGGCACAAAGGTTTCAGGGATTCTTCAAGTGGTTCCTCTGCCTTCCGAACTTTTTTGAGGGATAGGAACTGGTAGACACACTGCGTTCAGCTGCCATTTAGGGATAAAGGCAGCACTCATTTTTAAACTGTTAGAAAACGATAGGAAGAGCAAATAGGAGTGAAAGCTGAGAAACTAAGGCAAGAAGATTAGGATTAGTGAGATCTTGAACTAAGGCAAGAAAAGTCAGACTAGTGAAACCCCATGCAAAAGTCTCAAGCGGTCAGGGGTGGGAAAGACATAGTCGAGATAAAGGAAAACTTGAAACTCCCTTGCTAAAATTTTAGGCTCATATTCCACCCGTATTGATTTCAAGTCTGAAAGGGTAAGAAAACGCCTAGGTTTTCAAATATTTCAGAAAAAAACCGAGTAAAAGTCCCCACATGGGAGAACGAACCTTGATAGTGTAGTGGGTCGTGGTCCAGTGGCCATTGACGACGTGTCTGACCGGATTTGTCCACCGTAACAGCTGCGTCGTGGAAAGCCGCATTCTGACTCGTTATAACAGGTTACAACGCACCTAAATTGACAGTACAGTTCACTTTCCAGTTTTGGTCCTCCGAAGGGCAACGGTGACGTTCCGAGTCAAAAGTTAACGACGCTCTTGGGGTCATCTGAGAAACGCCCGATAAATTAGCCTTCCGAGAAGTATGAATGCTGCTTTGAACGCTTTCACCCAAACTTTGCCGTCTAATCCCTATTTAATCCCACTGCTCGAAAGACCGTGGGTAGGTGCCCGTTATTGGTAGATAGAGACATTACACTTTAGGTAGTTGCTGAGCCGTAGCCTCCATCTAGCTAGAGATGATCCTCTACATGATGCATTTCTCAATGCGGGGTTCGGGTTGACCGAACTGCCCATCACCAACAATGTGTAGGGTTATGCAATGTCACAAAGACTACGGAAGGCTGTTTCGAAGAGAGGGTGTCACTGACAGGGCCGACAGCAAAAAAAGCACAAATTAAGACAGCGGTACAAGTTCTCGTTGTATTCATGGCACTTGAATCAGTATTCGCGCAATAACTGGCGGAGTGGAGGGAGGAGGTGAGAAGGCCGCTTAAAGGTATAACAAAGGGGTGCCGGTTAAGTGCCTTCCCTGCAGGGTAACCTGTGAGCAAATTAAAACAGAAGCGCTCACAGCCCACTCAGAAGAACGTGGATCCTCATTGAGAAGCATTCAACACCTTCCATCTTCAACTGTTCTACCCTAAAGGCATTCTACAGCAATTCCGAAGCTCTAACCTAGAACACCACCTACGATTCAGAATAGTCTACAGAGGCGATACTCATGGGGCCGCTCTATTGTGGTGAAGGGATTTCGATGTTTCTCCTGAGATATCATTGGACTTCTCCATAAAGTTGGGAATCGGGAAGCTAGTAAGGGTGGAGTAAGTTTAAAGGGCTTCTGGTAACTCACAGACCCCGCCCACCTCACAAGTCACGTCTACAAACTTATGGAAGGTGGAGCATTACTTGTGATCAAATATTCAAGAGGTAATATACAAACATTGAACTTTGCATCACAGCTTTGTTTGATCTGAAATTTCCTTACTCGGAAAGAAACTAGTATTAAGCCACACCCTCGGTAATGACCAAGTCAAATTGCATTGGTTATTGTAATAATCATAATCAATGCTCATTTTTTATTTACAAACAGAAACTATGGAGAAAAAAGCGCAAGTACCGTAACCACACAACTAAGCAAAAAAGCGGGGCCAGAGCTCAAAAAATTGCGCTTGACATAAAAAAATGTTTATCTTTTTCGCAAAAAAAGGTCCACATGTCATAAAAAACGTGGGAATTTTCTTTTTTACTTTTTATATAAATCAATTATTATCCCAGATCAATTTTCAGAACGATACCAACGCCCTGGACGCTCACTTGAAACTCCTGGGATGATTTTTGTCATAAACTCCCAAAAAAAAACAGAAAATATTCAAAATAGAAAAAAAAAACAACAAAGAAAGGTGGCTAGCTGCTTAATTCAATATTTGGGATAATCTAGGAATCAGAATCTGACTGAATAGTCAAAGAACCAGGGTAACAAATATCGATAGGCCATGAATAAACGGCGACCTTCGTAATGATCGCGACCGGGTCGGTACAAAGTACACGACGTTCGAAAGCAACGATCGCCCGACCCATCACAGTTCACCATCACGTCAGCCCTTTTTCAACTGGTTAATACTGTGGGAAAAATGAAATCAAGGACAAAGGCAAAGGCGACTTTGTCCCTCATGATCTGCATCTGTATGTGGTATGCGCCATGCATTCGGCTATTATATGAAATTGTTGAGGATAGACTTGGAAACTTTATCTGGAGTTGCAGCTCCTATGAGAATCATTAAAAGGGAAAAGAATATGGTTTTGTGGCCTCATTCATTTCCGTTCCTAGGTTAAGCCCCGTATCCGACCTCCACTCAGAATAGAAATGGCGTTTTGTGGGCTCTAGTAATGACTTGCGTCGACCATCCAAATAGAGTCAACGCTTCCATTCTGCCAGACGAGATACCAATTCACCGCACCCGCGGAGATGGAAAGCTTGGTTGGCCTGCGCTGGTATCGATCAGGGTCCGATCCTCAGAGCATGCGTGGATTAGGATGTGCCACTTGCCGCTACACTACCCGCCAGAATATTTTATCTTTCAGAAATTTGGTACTTTTTAGCCGCATTGGGCTGAAAATTCGGTAGCTCAGGAGGGTGCTCTGCCATTATACATCCCTCTCATCGCCCTGGGTTCCCTCTTAGCCGTTTGCAGCCGACCTGCGCTCTGGCCGTTCATGTCAGAGAGCCGGCGTTTAGGTCGACCCGCAACCGCCAGCAGTTTTTGCACACTTGCTAGCGCTGTGTTCTTTGAAACCTTTTTGGACAGCATGGGCCTTTCGCAAAAAGAAGCCGCCTCTCCTACTGTTTTTCACTGTGAAATGTGGAACTTGCCATTGAAGAAATGAACGGCATGATTCAGCTGTATCACGTAGTACATGGGTACTTACCACGTGTTTTCCCACATGGTTCATGAGATTCTATACAGACCCATGAAGTGCAAAGGAAAGGACTGCCCTTGTCTAGGACACGACGCCGGACAAGTACATTCCTCCCCATTGTACGAAAAGCGAAGGTCTGAAGGTACCAAGTGATAACCCAACGCGGATCTTCCTTAGGGCGTCTTACCAATTTCTTCTGTTCCAGCGATCTGACTTTCACGCAAAATCTCTGGAATTACGGAGGATCAAGGTTCATAGGAAAACTGTTTGTATTCTCTCATTTAGTTGAGATTTGGCAACAATCTCCGCTTGTTTGTTCCGTGCGCTAAAACAGCCCAGTAGATCGGGCTGCTTAGCGCAGGGAACAAACAAGTGGAGACTACTGCCAAGCCTCAACTAAATGAGAGAAAACAAATAGTTTCGCTATGAAAATGCGTAAATGAAATATAGATTGTCCATAAGATTAGATGAAGCCATTGGCATTGATCAGTACCGCTCTGGGATATGGCCGAGCCCTGCATGTTCGTTCATACTGGAATTGGCATCAGAATGGGATTTCATTTTCGATTTTGGAGTCAGTGATAGCGGCTTCAACGAAGGATGAGGTTTGGTAGCAGTGGGTGACCATTGTTAGGACGAAGTATGAGTCTTCAATGCGTGGAAGTACACCTGCTCACCAACATTCCAAAACCCGTGTCATATCCATAAGCTCCCTGGTGGAAATCCGCATCCTCACCTAACAGTGCTCTGCCCATTACTGTCGATGCGTTGGGTTAAAACGTTTCTGATGGTAACCGGACTGAATCTCACATCGATTACTGCCTTTGGCAGGCAATTTTCGATATCAAATTTTGCTTGATTACCGTCAGAAAGTGTCCACCCGGTAAAGGCTTAATGGATATTACCCTTGCCACATTCATAGAGAAATCATAAGTGAACAGGGTAAGACACAGTTCATCTGGAAAGAAACGTTTTGCAGTTCAATATTCAACAATTTCGGGTGCTGCGGGCCTCACCAAGCATATTCCCATGCTCCTAACGTCGGGATACAATACACTACATTGTAAGTCTAATGGGAGCTCCATAGCTGCCTTCCCGCGAAAATCGGTCAGCCGTTTTTGAGTGCGACAATAGCGCCCGAGTTGTGATGTTGTGATGGTCGTGGGTAGAACCCGTTCTGGAATTATTAGGAGTATGTAGGCATTAAGACAGTTATACTGCATTCTCTACTGCATTTTACCGTATCAAAGTGATGCGGCCTGTTAGAAATTGCTTGTAAAGTCGTTGAATGGGAATATTAGTAAAGTCTAAAAAGACTTTTGGCAT